CCGTCCCCAGCCTGCACCTTCCATTAAGGAAAACCAGTCGTGGGGCCAGGACATGGCCGAGGCACCACAATCGCCCTTCTCACCCCATGGCCCAGCCACAGAAGGCTCTGGCCAGACCATGGCCTTGAGGAGTCTCTGGGAGCACCCAAGCAAGGCCACTCCAATTTCTCCAACAGCCCTGACCCCCCGCAGCTCCCCAGCCCCTTTCAGGATACACCTGGTGCTTCAACAAGTGTTTTCTTTTCGATTTCCTCATCTTTGTCTTCTCGGAGAAGGCTCTGGCGAGTTCAAACAGCTTCTTGCGTGTGGCTGGAAGGAAGCAGCCAGGTGAGGGTCTCACCCCAAAACCCTTCCCAAAGCTGCCATGGGTGATGGGGAGGAGATGGCCAAGGGCCAGCGGTGTGGGAACCACCCGTGCCCTGACACCCCATGGCAATACCCCAGGTTGCCCCATTGCCAACACGGAGCCTGCCAACCGACTCACATTTTCCCATGTGTTTCAATTTGTCTCTGAATAAGGCATCGTCAGACACGGCACCGCCGGCCTCGCTGGTTACCGAAGGGGCTACGTCACCTAGAAGGCAAACATCTGGTCAGCGGGAGTGCGTGCGCGGTGAGGGGAAGCTCGAGAGGAATCATTTCCGTGACCCAATTCCAGCGCCAGCGAAGAGCAGCCCTGCCACGAGCAGAGATGAGCAAGAGCTTTTTGAGCAAGAGCAGGCGGGATGGGGGCACCGGCACACCAGGGCTGGCTCCGGGTGAGCATCCTCCGTGGATAAAACCCTCGAGATCGTGGGGCAGAGATGCTGGCTCACAGCACATGCTCAGCACCACGGGGCTGCTCACCTCGAGCTGCCTGCCAGCAGACATGGACGAGCAGCGGCTCGGTCCCACCTCCAGCACGGCTGCAGAGCAGGAGGCCTCTCTCTGCGCTGCCCCAGGGACAGCTGCCCCAAATTCCCCCGGGCACTAATTGCACTCCGGGCATTAGATCATGCCTGTGCCCATGCTCAGCTCCCAGGACAGCAGGGCCACCGGATTAGGAGCAGTTCGGGCATCCCAGTAAATCAGTCAAGGGGACCAGAGACCCCAACAGCCACATCCTTGTGCCCACCTGAGCCCCTTCCCCAGGTCTGGGTGTGCTGGAAGCACCACGCACCCAGCGGGAGCTCCGTGGCAGCACCCAGCCGCTGCGGCCCTCCCTGCCCTGCAC